CCCTACTATATGGTAGAGAGTGGCTGTTGTATAGGTGGTAGGTGCTGCTTACAAATTGACGTTCTTCTGGTCAGCATCTAAAGTAGGTATGAGCCTTGGATCCTCTGACCTGGTCTTTTAGTCCTGTTGTCGATTTATACTATGTTCTGGTTGAATATACCTAGCACCACCTTGTTTGGCGTATTTGTTCCTTTTGTACAACAGAAATCGTATTTCAGTATTAATTTCTAGTCTTGTGTCGAGTGGTCATTTGATGTCTAAAATACTTTGAATAACAAATAACATGGAAGAATGCTGAAATAAGATCTGTTAATGGTATTCACGTTTCAAACGTATCGCATCCAGTCACGTGAGGATATATTAATACTGTATTGTAGTCTCTGTTACTTTAATAAAAATGTATCATGACAGTTTGACTCGTAAATGTTGTTGATGCCTTTATTGTTGAGCTAGTGTCAACTGTGATTCAGGTTAATTCAGAACAACCAAAACACTCTGGATGACCCATTTTAAAAAACACGATCACCCTCATCTCCCCGTTTTTTTAAGAAAGTAAAAGGCAGTAACTATTATAGTTGCACCACATTGATGGATGTGAATTCACAAAATATTAATTGATAAAACACTATATAGAAAAACTGTCATTTTATTTTTCCTTTCAATGTAACTACTTGCTAGCGCCATGATGAAAAAGCTGTTAGTTTATCAAATCTTTATTGTGATGTATTTACAACTTATCATAATGAGGTGTTTTTTTGTTGTTGTATTTTTGTTAGACACGAAAACTTGAGTACAAAAGAACGTCGCTACGTGGCGACACGCACAAGTGGAAAGAAAAACACCTACGATTCATTAATAAAATCAATGTTATCTATATCTTGTCTAATCATAAATATCAAACTCTTAACAATAAAACATCTAAACTGTTTCTTCAACGAAACAACAGATCATTTGAATTGGTAGAACAATGATTGTTCTATGTTAGCTTCGATAATCTCAGTTAATATACTTCATAGATGAAACACAAAGATCGTTATTTTAATTAAAGTGGAGCAGATAATCTGGCATGACGTTTCTGTTTGCTGTAAGAGAAATATTTAGGTGATTTGCATATGAAAATCTCACTATTAAGGTATGGTTTAACTCTCATGCGATGAGATATAACAGCTCCCACACAGAGCTAAAAAAAAGCAATCGAATCATCCATACCCAGACTATCTAATACCAACAATCTGACAAAATTCATGGACATGGCCCTCAAAAGGAAAGAGTACCAGAAAGTACAAATGCAACCCACTACCAGCACACTAATTACAATTTAATTACAGCTTAAAATGTAACAATAGTTCAGAAGGGAAGAAGAGGTCTAAGAAGAACCTGACCCTCCCAGATTTTTAAAAGAAAACCCCATGCTGACACTAGGAAATATAATTTTGTGTACAATCAAACTCATTTTATGGATAAGGAATTTAACTCAAATTATAGCATTCCAGCATTCCTCCGTTTACATATATTACTTTATATAATGTTATAAGCTATATTTTTAATATTTTATTCGGGTGTTTGCCTGCTAGAGGGAGGTTGCTATCTCGTGTTTAAGTTGAAACCATGAGACATTGAATTAAAGGGTCAAATACCAGTGATGGAATTAATAATCCCTGAATTATTACATCAGTTAATGAGTAGAATTATTGGTTATTGTTAGTTAGACAATGTCTATATGTTTGCTCTATTTGCCCATGATTTAGTTAATCAGTGAATTATTCAGCGTGGTAATTATCACTATCAGCCGATAACTGAATAAGCAACTTTAGCAAGCAAGTTTATTGTGAGGTAGGAGACAATAAAAGTTAAACTAAAACGCTTAATGTAGCTTGTCCAACGATAGAATACGTTATGCCATTATATACATCATTTAAAATCGTCAACACTGAAATTTAATTGATAAATGCATTATTCAGGGGACCCCGATTTGTCAATGGTAAGTTGACTGTCAACTGAACAGGTTTACAAGTTACAACGCTAAATTCCGAAGTTTGATTCCCGGCGATGAATACATCAGATAGCCCAATATGGTTTTCTGCTAAAACTAACGAATATAGTTCAGGTCAACCATAAGGAAGCGACACCTTCATTCCAGAAAATTGCATTTTACTAGACTACATAACAGAAATTGAGATAGTTTAATAATAGATTTAACACTAATAATAATTCATCTGAAAATTTATAGTTTGATTAATGTATTTCGAACTTCTCTAACACCAGTGTTCTTTTTTCACTGAGTGAAGGTGTATTTTATACTAATTATATAATTGAGATAGAGTTAACAAAATAGAACTTTTATTTCAAGTATACCAAAGTAACTCTCAAGGCAATTGTTACATAAAAATTGTCTGACAACATTACGTTTTTACATTAGAACGTTACTTTTTTTTTGTATATAATAGCTTGTAATAATGGTCTGCACATAAGTGAATAGGATAGGTGTAGAGCTCGTATATATTTATCAGCTCTACTAGTACTAGAAGAACCACCTTTGACTTAATCACAGTATTTCGATATGGTTTCCCACTACCAACAAATTACTTAGAAGTGCTGATTCAACAAAACATCAAGATTCTATTCTTGATCTTAACATAACATTTTGGAACAACATGGTACTTGTTGGTCGAACTCAGCTGTTCCATCCTCAAAACTAAATTAAGATAATTAAACAAAAATCATAAAGCCAGCCCTTGTCATTCATATACTTATCAAGCTTTTTCTGAAACTCACTTAAACTCTACAAGTACAACATCCTAAAGCAACCCATTTCAAAGGCCAAACACCCTGTTAGAAAAATGAAACTGTCTTAGCTGAAGATTACTCCTACGTTGCCAAAATTTATACTTGTGTCCTCCTAGTCCTACTATTCTCAGTGTTAAATATGAAAAAAGATGATGCATCAACACTATCAATTCCCTTTACAATCTTGAACACCTCAATCAGATCCCACCTAACTCTTCTCTTTTCCAGAAAAAAATTGAGAGATTTTGGTTTTTCCTTGTATGACAACCTCTCCATTCCAGGATCCATTCTAGTAACCCTTCTCTGAACCCTTTCCAACAATTCAATGTTTTTCCTAAG